AGAAAGACAAGAACCACAGTAGCCGTAAGAATAAGAACGACGATAAGACCAAGGAGGCGCAGGCACCCCCCGGGAGCTACATAGCTCTGGGCACACGCACCCTACAGGTGCACGTGCTGCGTCTCGACCGCATCTCTGAGGGAATGGAGGAAATCAGAGAGGAGGAGGAAGCCAGTGAATTCATCTCGTCGGCGAATTCTCCCGATGGTGATGAAAAGAGAAAGGAGTATGGCACTGCGTTTACGTTGACGCCACTGCGGAGCTGGACGGCGGCGCAGCAAGCTATTTCCGTCGTTCAGTTCACTCTGAACGGGCGCTACCTCGTCTCCGGCTCGACAGACGGCGGGGTGAAGGTGTGGGATGTCTTCAACCATCACCTCACACACAACCTGCGCACCCCGTCTGCCAGCCTCGTGCACACCATTTATGTCGATCCTGTAGAGAGGTTCCTCTGCGTCGGCAGCTTCGAAGGGCACGTTGCCGTGTTTGACTTTGTTGCGAAGACGCTCCTTGCGCACGGACGGCCACACGTCGCGGCTGTTGAGGCACTGAGCTTGACTCCTGACGGCGAGCACCTGCTTTCTATTGGTCGGGACCGCAAGCTTGCTATCTGCAGGATGGCCGCACCAGAGCTGCAGGAGGTGCGCGGTGTTGTTGTGAAGGAGCACGTGTCCACTGCAGTGTTCGAGTCGCCCTTTCGCCTCCACGTCGGTGGAATGGACGGGACGGTCTCAACGTATAGCGCCAGCATCACTGAGCCACTAAGGCTGCTATGCCGACTATGTCAACCTGCAACGAGTAATGTTGCCGCTGATGACGAGCTGGCGATTCGCAGCTTGCTGGTTGCCATGCGTCCCAAGGACAGGGGTGAGGCGGAACTATTACACGGCTTGATCGATGATGAACGTCTACCCTTGCTGTACGCCGCTGACGCTTCCTTCAACATCGCTCTCCTCCACCCTGACGCGGGAGCACGCAGCTACTGCTCCACCGCGACGCTGGTCGGCTTCCTAGACCAAGTTCTCGATGTGGCGGTGCTTCCGCCGGGATTCCCGTTTCAGCGCATCGTTGTAACGAATAGCAAGGATGTGCGATGCTATGCATCGAGCGGCTGCCTCTCTTCCAAGACGCTGCGTGGGCATGACGATATTGTGCTGGCTTGCGCCGTTTCTGCTGATGCTCGTGTGGTGGCCACAGCTGGAAAAGATCGCGAGATTCGATTCTGGTCGACCGCCACGTGGGAAACTGTTGCGATTGGGCAGGGCGGCCACGAGGGCGACATCACTTGTATTGCATTCAACGCAAAATCGTCGGAGAGCTACATGTTGGTGTTTTCCGGTGGCACGGATGAGAACCTGCGACTCTGGGACGTCGGCATGCACGTTGGCCCCGCGCTACCGAAAGGGAAGGCGGGGGAAGTAGCTGCACCCCCTGTCACATTCGCGCCCCGCTCTGGCATTAACTCCGCCCACGAGGGGCCGATCCACGCGTTGGCGGTTTCTCCCAATGACCAGTACGTTGCAACTGTTGCGAAGGACAAGAATGTGAATCTCTGGACTATCACGGGCAAGAAGGTTTACCGTGACGCTTCATTGAAGGGACACCGTCGCGCTGTGACGTCGCTGGCCTTTTCCCCAACAGATCGCGTGCTGGCGTCAGCGTCGAGTGACGGGAGCATTCGTCTATGGTCCCTCGTATCACTGGCGTGTGTGAAGACGCTACAGGTGGACCGGACACCGGTGCTGCAAGTGGCCTTCTTTAACGCGGGGACGCAACTCGTGACAGGCAACGCTGAGGGTGTTCTGCGTGTGTGGGCAATTGCGGCGTCGGAGGTGGTCTGGTCAGGCGAGACGCATGAGGACAGAGTTTGGGCACTGGGCGTCGTTGAGCGCGAAAACGAGGCCGTTCATTTTCTCTCCGGCTCCGCGGACGGCGTGCTTGTGGCGACGGAGGACTACACAGCTGCGGAAGCTGACCGCGTGCGGTCCGAGCGCCATGACATGATCCTCAAGGAGCAGGATCTTGCGAACGCGCTACGGAAGGGGCAGTACACCGAGGCCTTTATGCTCGCACTGAAGTTGAACCACCCGCGCAACCTGCGGCAGGTGATCGTGAAGTGGTCCGTGAAGGCGCCGCAGGAGTGTGAGGAGTCGCTGCGTCGCACTATACTTCCCGCCCTCGACGAGGAGCAGCTGGTGCGGCTGCTGCAGTTCACGCGGGAGTGGGTGACCAACGCACGCCACAGCGGTGTTGCGAGTTTGGTGATGCACAGTGTGCTAGCGGCCCACCACTTCACGTCGCTGGCGTCAATGCCGGCAATACGGACGATTCTAGAGGCGCTGCTGGCGTACATGCAACGCCACAGCCAACGCCTCCACGAGATGCTGAGACGAACGTACTACATTGACTACGTGACGCGCTCTTTGGGTCCGTCGACACTTACAAGTGAGCCGTACTTCATTCGTGGTGAAGCCCCAGTCGAGGAGCCTGAAGCAAAGAGACAACGCTTGGAGGCAGTTTAGGCTCGTTGGTGTTTGTTTAACAAGGAAAAGAATGAAACCGGTTAAGGAATGGGCACCATAACAGTGAGGGTCTAACACAGACAAGTTAATACACCACTCACGAGTGTTTCTTATTTATGAGAAGCAACACCTTTTTGTGCTGTGGTGCACAGCAGCGGTCAGTTTTTTTTTTTGTTTTGTGAGGCTTGTTTCCCCAAATATGCTTCTCTCACTGCTTTGGATTAATGTTTCGAATACTTTTTCTTTTCTCTTTGTTTTTTTTTTTTGCTCTTTTCCCAGCTTTCTTTTTGTGAGCAGAGTATAGCTTTTCCCTCTCCGCTTCCCGGGTGGAGTGGGTCGTGAGGAACGAGGTGGTGAGAGATGGACGCGTATCAGTCACTTAGCAACCGGGTCGCTTCGATGGAGGATCTCCTCCGCAGGAGCGAGTCGGCCCTTGCGATGGCCCTGCAGCGCATTAAAACGATGGAGGAGTACATCTCGGCTAGTGAGGCGCGGCAGCGCGGCGAGGGTGCCGTGCGGAGCGACGCGATGGCGTCACGGCTGGAGCGGGTGGCCGAGACGAACAACTCCAAGATGGAGTCGCTGCAGGAAGTCGTGCAGCGGCAGGCCAACGCCGCGCAGGTTGCAGATGAGCGGCTGCAGGCCGCTCTCAAGGTCATGGAGCAAAGATTTAGTAGCGACATCGCTGGTTGTTACCAGCGGATGCAGGCATCAGAGGCGTCGTTGATGGGCGCGGTGCGGAATGTGGAGGGTGTGGTGCAGTCGCAGTCCTCAACACTGAAATCGTTAGAGCAGATCATGCGGGGTGACATGCACTCCATGCAGCAGAAATTCAGTGGCGAGCTTGGGGATGTGCGTCAACACGCTGATGCATTGGATAGAGAGTGCCGCAACGCTTTGGTGGAGCTGCACAGGTCAATCTCAGGGGATGTAAAGAGCCTCTCTGATAACCTGCTTGGAAGGTTGCAGTCGTCCGCGCAGACAACCAACGCGGCGTTAGCTGGACTAGAGCAAAAGATATCGACTGATATGAGGTCACTACAGGAGTACGTTGCGCGCGAAATTTCGGCGGACCGACAGAAGATGAATGCGCAGGAAGGCAGCACGAGGGATGCGCTTCAGGCGCTGCATGGCACCTTAGCCGGTGACATTGCCAACTTGTCATCGCGCTTCCAGGCGTGGGAGACGAGTGAGCAGGTGGCGCACCAGCAGCTGCTCTCTGAATTGTCCTCGCAACGACAGCAGATGGAGACGGTCGACTCAAACTGGCGAGTGAGTCTTGCTGACATCAACGGAAAGGTGCAGGAGGGATGGCAAAGTCTTCGTGCTCAGCAAGGGGCCGCGGAGATCGCAACGCAGCAGGCACTCTCGCAAACGAGGGCGCGTGTCGATGAGCTGGCTTCGGAATTCCGCTGCGTCGCAGAAAGCTTCTCCCAACCAATACAGAGTAAGTTTAGCCTCCTGGAAACTCTGCGCGAAGATATGAGCCATTACAAGAGGTTGCTGGCATCCACGCAGGAGGAGCACCGGCGACTGCGTGACGATCTCAACAACTTCTCTCTGATGGCTGACCGTAGCGCGGTGCAGCTGCGATCGATCATGGAGGCCGCCGTGCGGGCGTCGCACAGCGACATGCTGGAGCGGATGAAGCCTCTCACAAGCTACAGGGCTGAGATGAACGCCGCCATAACGGCTGCTCTTAGCAAGATGTGGAATGAGATTGCCAGTAACTTCACGTCGCAGCGAGACATCGTGGCGCTGCAGAACCAAATCCAGGTGCTTGACCACGCAGTGCGCAACGAAGTTTCGCTGCTGGTAGAAAGGGGGCGCGCGCTCGAGCGCCGAGCAGGTGAGCCAAAGGCTGATGGAATCCTAGTCAAGGGCCCTCAGATCGACTCGGAAAGTGGCGCCGTGATGCAGTTGCCTATTCTTGACGAGCTGAACAGTCTCTGGGTCGAGCTCCGCAGCATTCAAAAGCGGGCTGGCATGCCGAGGGAGGAGGTCTTGAGTGTTATTGGCGACACACGCAAGCAGATTCTCGAGGTCGCCTTGGATGCAACGAAAAAGAGTGAGGATGAGTTCCGCGCTCTCCTGGCACGTATTTTGGCCAGCGTACACGAGATAATGCCGAAGGTCAATAAGAAAGGAACCGGAAACAGCAACGGTACGGGGAAGAGGACCGTTATCCGTGTGATGCCGCGGAATGGCACATCTAGCATGGGCTCAAGGCAGTTGCAACCACTTGTGGGAAATGGAAAGATGCCGTCGCGTCCGTCCACGCAAGATGAGAAGCAGCAATTTTCGTCTGCGTTACCTCTTGTGGTGGTGCAGAGGGGTGGACAAAATGGCGCACGTGATGCACAGGTAGTGACGGTGAGGCCGTTGTCGAGAGGCGCGTGTGCATCCCCCAGTGCCGTTGAGAGCGCCAATCGACTCCCGCCGCTCGCACAGGCTGCTCGGTCACCAGCTGCTGGGTCATCAACTGCTCGGTCACCAGCTGCTGGGTCATCAACTGCTCGGTCACCAGCTGCTGGGTCCTCAGCTGCTCGGTCACCATCTGCTGGGTCCTCAGCTTCTCGGTCACCAGCTGCTGCTGCCTCCGTTGCATCTTCGCATTCGGCAGCGCCGAATCAAGGAGTATAGGGAGTAGGTTCGCCTCATTGGGCTTTTAGGTATTAAATCTCAGAAAGAGATTGCGATGTAGGCACGGTTGCATTCTATGCCTTTTTATATACAATTAACTGCGCAATCAAGTGCACTTATATATATATATATATCTACATATATATATATAAGGGCTGTACGTTTGAGTTTTTCCGTGGAGTACGATGATTTTTCTTTGTTTCGTTTATTGAACCTCTTTGTTTTGTGTGTTACAGTACACCGTGTTTGCCCCAAGCTCCTCCACATGAGAAACGCTTTTGGAACAGTCTCTAAGTTCTTATTTGCTTCATCTCGGCTCTGTTCTTGTGAGCAGTGTTTTGTTCTATGAACGATGTACGAAATGGATAGGGCGACGAATCACGTGAAGTTATTGTACTCCCCTCTCGTGGTGCTCTTTCTATCTGTGCTCATCTCGCTTGTGCTTCTACGGTGTACGTGAATTCGTTCTCCTACCATTGTTTTTTTGGTCGCTAATTCGGTATATGAAGTTCAACGGTGTGTGAAGTCACAACTGCCACTTTCCTCAAGTATGGGACGCAACAAGAAGGGAAAGGCTAGCGACACACACGAGGCAGCAGCAACTGCAGAGATGGAGAATGCGTCTTTTGAGCAGGAGGTGCCAGACGACAGTCCGGCTAGTCACACCGAAAGTGACTCCTCCGTCGTGGAGGAGCAGCCGGCACCGAAGAAGAAGGCATACCACGGCAATAAACTGAACCGTGGTGCCGGCGGCAAAGCCAAGAAAGAGGAACCGGTGCGTGAGCCACACCCACAGACGGCAACTGCAGAGACGAACGGTGCTGCAACGCCCGGGGAGGAGCAGGATGAGGGAGATGCGGTGAGTGGTGCGGCGGAGCAGCTGGAGGACGGCGCCGCTGTTGCGCGGCACGAGCCCGTGGAAGTGCTCTACTGCCCTATCTGCACGTTTCCCGCGGAGATGTGCGAGTACAGCGGGATGTACGAGCAGTGCCGCCCGTGGCTGCTCGAGCACGCGAAGGAGCTCGCGGAGGCGGAGGAGCGGGGCCGCAAACGGCGCGCGCTGACGGAGCGGGATCGGCTT